TGTAACTTAGGTGCCATTTTGTCTTGTTTTTGTTTAGTATGAAATGTTATTAAATCCTTAATTTTTGCAGTTCTGAGTCTTGAGTTCACTTGGTTTTGCCGCATGACACTGACTTTATGAAGTGACACAAGTGAGACCATCTCAAACCCAGCTGATTCCAAATAAAGGATTACACTGGCTTCTCTTATTGTCCGTTTATCAGCGCTTTGTGTTGAACAACGCGTGAAACTAATGAGGCCTAAACAGCTTATAGGGCTCAGTGAAGCAGATAGAAAGAATGACTCAGTCTGTCACTTGATGCCATGTCAATTGTACGGCATGTTTCTGCGTGAGTGTTTTATCACTTTCAACCATAACATCCTGTTTCCTGAGTAACTGACAGCAGAACGCAGTGAGAAAACTTCCACCAGCCCAGCGCTTCAATGCCAGTGACCAGTTAATTGGAAACCAGCAGGGGAGGAAAACAAAGCAGCAGTGATGTCACCACCCGGCTAGTCCGTGTGGGATGTCTTTCCTGACCCCGCTACGTGCTCACCCCCCTACAGCACCCTCCCTTATCACCCATTCACTCCCAAGAACTTCTCCTCCACCACAATGTCGCAGTGGCAGCTGAAATACTGAATGTGTCTATGACTTCAGCCATGACAAAGACAGACAGTGTTCCCCATTGAAGAGCCTCTCGGGTTAAAGCTACCCCTGAATAGCTGCTCTAGGACTTCCCACAAACACATCGCAGACTCCTTTGCCTGTCACTCAGCCCGTTAGTGGCGAGACTCATGCATAGGCCTCTATAAGCAAGTGTAGTTTGGAGGTGCAGGCCGTGTAACCCTCTCTCTCAGACAAGCAGACGGTTAAAACAATGGCGGTCTTTGTGTGTCTCTTCACGTTGAGTCTGCAGGGGGTTGGGTGCCAGCCCGTAACGCTGGTCCAGTCTCAGTGTGAGGGACGGACACAAGTGTACTCTCATTCACACTGCTCCAGAGATGGTCCGCGGTGAAGAGTGGGGGAACAGAGTAAGGCAATCCTTTGTGGGAGCTGAACGGTGGGATGCTAAGAGGCTTATTTCTTGAAAAAAAAAGGTGTATCTTTTCACTTGCTGTACAAGCAAACCACACTCATCTTTAGAAATGTAGACATAAACGCTCAAGCAATGACATATTGTTTGTATAGTTGTGAAAGACATATAGAGTAATATTTGGAGATGAGAGAGAGAGGTTTGTGCAAAGCTAGAACAACAGAAATTCATTGAGCAGATATTCTCAGCAGTATTTTTGACAATCTGGGACAAGATGCTGTCTATATTTACCGTCTTATTTCAGAAAGGTGGTAAGGTGATATTATTGCAGGAGGTAAAAAAGTGAAATAGAAAGATTGACAGCATCTATCAGTGCATGACCACAACAGGAAGAGGCATCGGGATAGACAAAGCCACTTCCACTTTATCCCTGCCCTCAGCATCAGTCATCCGAACAGGCCATATACTTTGGGTGTTCGACAAGCAAATAAGCCCTTCCAGCTGCTCACTGCAACCGCTGCTGTAATTGGAAAGGAAGAAACGCTTCACCGGGGAATGGCAGGCAAATTGGATGGTTCACTAATACATCCGGTGTTTACTCAGTTCAATATTTACCTAAAGCTTTGGGCCCTGACACCTGGCTTCAATACCTGGTGAGGAGCAGAAAGCTAGACATCTGATGCCTCATGAATATGTTCTACTGAGAGGGGACAACCAGCCTGGGCAGGTCCCGGCTCCAAAAGGCCCATGAGCATGCGCGCTGACATGCTGTAATCTCACTCCCCTCGGTGGGGGTGTACCCGGAAAGAGAATTACCCAATGCGCCTTCTTTCCACTCAAAAACGTTTTTACAGGATGGTGCAAAAGTGGCTCTTGGTCCAAAAGTGGCTTTTGGTCCAAAAGTGGCTCTTGGTCCAAAAGTGGCTCTTGGTCCAAAAGTGGTTCTCGGTCCAAAAGTGGCTCTCGGTCCAAAAGTGGCTCTCGGTCCAAAAGTGGCTCTCGGTCCAAAAGTGGCTCTTGGTCCAAAAGTGGCTCTCGGTCCAAAAGTGGCTCATGGTCCAAAAGTGGCTCTCGGTCCAAAAGTGGCTCTCGGTCCAAAAGTGGTTCTTGGTCCAAAAGTGGCTCTTGGTCCAAAAGTGGTTCTTGGTCCAAAAGTGGTTTTTGGTCCAAAAGTGGCTCTTGGTCCAAAAGTGGCTCTTGGTCCTCTTCGTTCCAGATTCTGTCAATGTTGAGGGGAGTATATATACTTTTTGGACCAATCTAGTTTGGCCGGTGTGGACTGTTGAATGCACTTAAATGAATGGGGCTAGAGCAGCTAACACATGCGCAAATCCGTTTTTTCACATCATCTTGCCCCCCGGCCATTTTGAAAAAGCCCCAGAAGGCTAATATGATGTCACATTAGTTTCAAGGGCGGAGAAAGGCGTCGCTACTTCGGTAATATTTACAGTCTATGGTAGGGATGTACCGATCCAATTTTTTCTAATATTTTCAAAGCATTAAAGATTTTGCAACCAGTATTACTTTAAAATGTTTTTTTTTGTTTTATTATAACATGATAAAAAATATTGTTTGGCTTTTGGTTAACAGACCTACTGAGTTAGGTCATAGGTAAGAATCACATCAGTATGGAATATTTCACCTTTGAAATAAACTTGATATAAAAGAAATATCAAAGAGGAACATTTGTCAAATATCTGCTCTCAACATTCAGTAAAACAAAAAGTAAAGAGCTGGTGCATAACTGAATGAGCACAAAAAGCCAGTTCTTAACCAGTGTGTGAACTCTGTAAATGTAAACTCCCCGATATTAAACAAATCAGATAATAATCCGATCCTTATAAAATACCCATATCGGCCCCGATACCGACACTGAATATCGGATCGGTACATCCCTAGTCTATGGTAAACAGAAGTTGGAATCGTCATATTTTAGATCATATGAATTTCAAGATCTGTATAATCCCCTAATAGCACAGTTTGTCTAGTATTTCCTTTGGTCTATGTAATGAGGGCCTCCCTGAAGTTTTACTTTGTTTTGTACTATTATATCTAGTCGATGCAGGAGGGTCCGAGACATATAAGTCCATTAATAACCTTTATGGACATCGGTCGTTCCTCTCTCTAAGGACCTATGCCTCCAATGTGTCATCAGTGCATTCTCTGTGTTCCAACTGTTTAATTCTCTGATCTGTTTTTGATGAATCCACAACTTTGTAACATCCTCCGAGACGACTGCTGCTGTGATTCAGATCTATACAAAAATAAATTGAATAGAACGGAATGCTACCCTCATAATAATGACTAATAAGCTGGGGTTGACTGAATCATAGCCCCGTCACTGATATGCAGGATCTATTATGCATGACAGGCCCATTTGTGATGCGTTTAAATCTTTATGTTTCAACACAGTCAGCCCGAATGTAATATCTTGCCATGTCTTCACAGGCGCTCTCAAAATACCCACTCTCCGGGTTCTGTAAATATAGGTTCTTTGCATAAATTATGTGAGTATATTTCCCTGGTGGCTTCAGTTATTCCACGGGCCAAGAGGAAGGGGGATGTGGAGGTTCCTCACCACAGCTCATTAGCCAGCTTCAGGAAGAAAAAAAGGCAAAGAGGGTGTTTCTCAAACGTCAGACCTCAAAAAATAGACCGCTGAGGATGCCCTGTTTTGTAGCTACTTAATTAAGTCTCATTAGCATAACCGTGTGGTGTTGTTTACTTCAGGCTAACTCATATGTGCTGCTGTATAAAGACTGGGTTTGCGAGAGAACTGTTCCTAACTCTACAAAGACACAAACTTTTCAATGACAAAAACAACTAAATAAAATCCACATATTTAGGTTTTTAAGGCCTTCTTCTTTGCCGTAGATCTAAAGGACTGATGCTAATTGGTCTATTTTGTTTAAAACGTGAGAAATACCATCACAAGTGTTTGAAGAAATGCCCCATTTTAAACATTGTACTTAAGATAAGATAAGACTGGAGACATTTACAACAGGGCGCAGGGGTTTCTGTGGCTTCTCAATGTCAGGCAGCAGCAGCAGCAGCAGCAGCAGTAGTAGCAGTAGCAGCAGTAGTAGTAGCAGCAGTAGTAATAGTAGCAGTAGCAGCAGCAGCAGTAGTAGCAGCAGTAGTAGCAGTAGCAGTAGTAGTAGTAGCAGCAGTAGTAGTAGTAGCAGTAGCAGCAGCAGCAGTAGTAGCAGCAGTAGTAGCAGTAGCAGTAGTAGTAACAGTAGCAGTAGTAGCAGCAGCAGTAGTAGCAGTAGCAGTAACAGTAGCAGCAGCAGCAGTAGTAGTAGCAGTAGCAGTAGCAGCAGCAGTAGCAGCAGCAGTAGTAACAGTAGTAGCAGTATCAGTAGTATCAGTAGTAGCAGTAGCAGTATCAGTAGTAACAGTAGTAGCAGTAGCAGTAACAGTAGTAGCAGTAGCAGTATCAGTAGTAGCAGTAGCAGCAGTTTTTTTGAGACATTTTACGATGTATTGTTTTACAGGTTCAAGAAACAAAGCTCAAAAGGAGAAGACAGAAGCCAAAATATCAACACTTATTTTAAGCAACAGCAAAAAGAAAGTTGAGATTTAAGTTTTCCATTAAACTCCAAACATGTAAAGGGCTTTGTAAATAAAATACATTGAGAAAGTTCCTACATCACTCAAAGCGACCAAACTGCTTTACAATAAAGTCACATATGATCCATTAAAATTAAAGCATTCAAACAATAAAACAGTTAAAAAGCCTTAGTTTAGAAATGTTCATTTTGTTGTCTTCGTAGATTCAGTCCTTTGGTCGTTCTACACCAGACATCGACGATTTCCAAACATGTTTTATTCCCGATCAAGTGAAAAACACAAAAGAAAAATGGCTGATCTAAATCCAAAACCACCTTCTCCTTTAACACTTATCGTTGTTCATGAGAGTCTCAGGTTCAAAAACAAAACAAACGCCGCTTTTGTCGTAGAGAGATTTTCAAAGCAAAGCAGAATGTGGAGAGTGGAGCCTCGGTGCCACAGGCCCAGAGTAAATAATGTCAGCAAAGCCCTGACCCAACACAACATTGCCTTATTGATCCCCACAGTGATTTTCCAGAGCTGCCTTTCCTCCCTCAGTCAGAGCAGCAGCTTTGTCCAGAGCTGCAGCTTTGTCCAGAGCTGCAGCTTTGTCCAGAGCTGCAGCTTTGTCCAGAGCTGCAGCTTTGTCCAGAGCAGCAGAGACTTCGGGAGAGTCTCGTACATGAATGTGAAATAGGAGATGAGATGGTCTGGAAAAGTCCTATTTGAACAATTCCGTATGTAATAGATACTTTATTGATTCCCGCAGGAGAAGTGTCCAGTAGCAGCAAGAAGAAAAAATATAATAGATCTTTCTAAAAATATCTAACAATAATAATAATAACAGTCCTTCAGGTCACAGCAGCAGAGGTCGTTCAGACCATCCTCTCTGCTCTGGTCTGGACCAGTGTAAAACCATGAATCCTCTCTGCTCTGGTCTGGACCAGTGTAAAACCATGAATCCTCTCTGCTCTGGTCTGGACCAGTGTAAAACCATGAATCCTCTCTGCTCTGGTCTGGACCAGTGTAAAACCATGAATCCTCTCTGCTCTGGTCTGGACCAGTGTAAAAACCATGAATCCTCTCTGCTCTGGTCTGGACCAGTGTAAAACCATGAATCCTCTCTGCTCTGGTCTGGACCAGTGTAAAACCATGAATCCTCTCTGCTCTGGTCTGGACCAGTGTAAAACCATGAATCCTCTCTGCTCTGGTCTGGACCAGTGTAAAACCATGAATCCTCTCTGCTCTGGTCTGGACCAGTGTGAAACCATGAATCCTCTCTGCTCTGGTCTGGACCAGTATAAAACCATGAACACTGAACTGCAGTAACATCTCAAGCAGAAAAAAAGAATGAAAAATACCAATTATAAAACACAGACACTTAGGACTTACTGCCGTTTTCCAGTCCATTCAAAAGTAAACACAACCATAATAATAATAATAATAATAATAACTAGAAACTTGCAATGGCTGAAGCCATTGCGATTGACTGCGGAACAGATCTAATGTGGAAATCTGCTAAAAAAAATCCTTGAAATCCTTTAAAAGGCCTTGAAACTGTTAAAATACTTGATAGATATTTGAAACTCCTGAAGTCCTTGAAATTGTTGAAACCTTTAAACTCCTGAAATCCTTGAAACTGTTGAAACATTGAAACTCCTGAAATCCTTGAAACTTTTTTTAAACCTGGAAACTGTTGAAAGTGTGGAAACTCCTGAAATCCTTGAACCTCCTGATATCCTTGAAACTGGTTAAATTCTTAAACAGTTGAAATCCTTGAAACTACTAGAATGTATTGAAAGTGTCCTTGAAACTGAAAAATCCCCTCACCGCTGAAACAATTTGGTTCCTGTAACTAAGGAAACCTGGTCTGTGGTCATTATCTGGTGGTGGTCTGAGTCTTCGTTTGGGTCTTGGTCTGGTGGTATAATGCAACCTATTAGGTTGCATTATACTGGTTTACATGGAAAAATCCCTATTAGGTTGCATTATACTGGTTTACATGGAAAAATCCCTATTAGGTTGCATTATACTGGTTTACATGGAAAAATCCCTATTAAGTTGCATTATACTGGTTTACATGGAAAAATCTCTATTAAGTTGCATTATACTGGTTTACATGGAAAAATCCCTATTAGGTTGCATTATACTGGTTTACATGTACAAATCCCTATTAAGTTGCTTTATACTGGTTTACATGTAAAAACCCCTATTAGGTTACATTATAGTGGTTTACATGTAAAAATCCTTATTAAGTTGCATTATACTGGTTTACATGTAAAAACCCCTATTAAGTTCCATTATACTGGTTTACATGTAAAAACCCCTATTAAGTTCCATTATACTGGTTTACATGTAAAAACCCTATTAAGTTGCATTATACTGGTTTACATGGAAAAATCCCTATTAAGTTGCATAATACTGGTTTACATGGAAAAATCCCCATTAAGTTGCATTATACTGGTTTACATGAAAAAAACCCTATTAAGTTGCATTATACTGGTTTACAAGGAAAAATCCCTATTAAGTTGCATTATACTGGTTTACATGGAAAAATCCCTATTAAGTTGCATAATACTGGTTTACATGGAAAAATCCCCATTAAGTTGCATTATACTGGTTTACATGTAAAAAACCCTATTAAGTTACATTATACTGGTTTACATGGAAAAATCCCTATTAAGTTGCATTGTACTGGTTTACATGGAAAAAACCCTATTAAGTTGCATTATACTGGTTTACATGGAAAAAACCCTATTAAGTTGCATTATACTGGTTTACATGGAAAAAACCCTATTAAGTTGCATTATACTGGTTTACATGTAAAAACCCCTATTAAGTTGCATTATACTGGTTTACATGGAAAAATCCCCATTAAGTTGCATTATACTGGTTTACATGAAAAAAAACCCTATTAAGTTGCATTATACTGGTTTACATGGAAAAATCCCTATTAGGTTGCATGATTACACTGAAGTCCTTGAAACTGCTGAAGTCCTTGAAACTGCTGAAGTCCTTGAAACTGCTGAAGTCCTTGAAACTGTTGAAGTCCTTGAAACTCTTGAAATCTTGAAACTGCTGAAATCCTTGAAACTGTTGAATCCTTGAAACTGTTGAATCATTGAAACTGTAGAAATGTCTGAAAGAGCTGAAGTCCTATTAAAATGCATGGGCCTATTAAAATGCATTGCAGAATTCTCAATGCAGATTTTTGTCCGATTGCGGAAAAACCGGAAATCGCTGAAGTCCCAAAAGTAATAGCAATAATCTCCCAAACATGTGGAACGTTTTGATGTATAACTTGTGGAAATTGTTGAAAATGTGAAAGCTGTGAAACGTGTCAAAAAAAACTAGAAACTTGCAATGGCTGAAGCCATTGCGATTGACTGCGGAACAGATCTAATGTGGAAATCTGCTAAAAAAAATCCTTGAAATCCTTTAAAAGGCCTTGAAACTGTTAAAATACTTGATAGATATTTGAAACTCCTGAAGTCCTTGAAATTGTTGAAACCTTTAAACTCCTGAAATCCTTGAAACTGTTGAAACATTGAAACTCCTGAAATCCTTGAAACTTTTTTAAACCTGGAAACTGTTGAAAGTGTGGAAACTCCTGAAATCCTTGAACCTCCTGATATCCTTGAAACTGGTTAAATTCTTAAACAGTTGAAATCCTTGAAACTACTGAATGTATTGAAAGTGTCCTTGAAACTGAAAAATCCCCTCACCGCTGAAACAATTTGGTTCCTGTAACTAAGGAAACCTGGTCTGTGGTCATTATCTGGTGGTGGTCTGAGTCTTCGTTTGGGTCTTGGTCTGGTGGTATAATGCAACCTATTAGGTTGCATTATACTGGTTTACATGGAAAAATCCCTATTAGGTTGCATTATACTGGTTTACATGGAAAAATCCCTATTAGGTTGCATTATACTGGTTTACATGGAAAAATCCCTATTAAGTTGCATTATACTGGTTTACATGGAAAAATATCTATTAAGTTGCATTAATACTGGTTTACATGGAAAAATCCCTATTAGGTTGCATTATACTGGTTTACATGTACAAATCCCTATTAAGTTGCTTTATACTGGTTTACATGTAAAAACCCCTATTAGGTTACATTATAGTGGTTTACATGTAAAAATCCTTATTAAGTTGCATTATACTGGTTTACATGTAAAAACCCCTATTAAGTTCCATTATACTGGTTTACATGTAAAAACCCCTATTAAGTTCCATTATACTGGTTTACATGTAAAAACCCTATTAAGTTGCATTATACTGGTTTACATGAAAAAAACCCTATTAAGTTGCATTATACTGGTTTACATGGAAAAATCCCTATTAAGTTGCATTATACTGGTTTACATGGAAAAATCCCCAATAAGTTGCATTATACTGGTTTACATGAAAAAAACCCTATTAAGTTGCGGAGTTGGTTCCGCAGTCAATCAATAAAAACAGTCTATACCACACTTTTCTGGATTCTCAGAGTCACTGGATTTATTCTCTCAGTCTGAGCAGTGCGAGTGAGCGACTGTAAAACTAGCCACAGTCGCCTTTGCCATCGCCTCTGACCACATGACTCTGACTCTGACTCTGTCTCTGTCTCTGTCTCTGACTCTGACCACATGACTCTGACTCTGTCTCTGTCTCTGACTCTGTCTCTGACTCTGACTCTGTCTCTGTCTCTGACCACATGACTCTGACTCTGTCTCTGTCTCTGTCTCCGTCTCTGACTCTGTCTCTGTCTCTGTCTCTGACTCTGTCTCTGTCTCTGACTCTGTCTCTGACCCAGGGCCGGAGTGGGACAACATTTCAGGCCGGGAGCTTTTCATCCATTCAGGCCAAACAAGGTTCTAAATTTGTGTTTTTGTCATTGATTGACTGCGGAACCTTCCGCAGTCAACCATTGGTTTTGTATTTCTTTATTCCGTCATTTTTTTTGACACGTTTCACAGCTTTCACATTTTCAACAATTTCCACAAGTTATACATCAAAACGTTCCACATGTTTGGGAGATTATTGCTATTACTTTTGGGACTTCAGCGATTTCCGGTTTTTCCGCAATCGGACAAAAATCTGCATTGAGAATTCTGCAATGCATTTTAATAGGCCCATGCATTTTAATAGGACTTCAGCTCTTTCAGACATTTCTACAGTTTCAATGATTCAACAGTTTCAAGGATTCAACAGTTTCAAGGATTTCAGCAGTTTCAAGGACTTCAGCAGTTTCAAGGACTTCAGCAGTTTCAAGGACTTCAGCAGTTTCAAGGACTTCAGTGTAATCATGCAACCTAATAGGGATTTTTCCATGTAAACCAGTATAATGCAACTTAATAGGGATTTTTCCATGTAAACCAGTATAATGCAACTTAATAGGGTTTTTTCATGTAAACCAGTATAATGCAACTTAATAGGGTTTTTTTTCATGTAAACCAGTATAATGCAACTTAATGGGGATTTTTCCATGTAAACCAGTATAATGCAACTTAATAGGGGTTTTTACATGTAAACCAGTATAATGCAACTTAATAGGGTTTTTTCCATGTAAACCAGTATAATGCAACTTAATAGGGTTTTTTCCATGTAAACCAGTATAATGCAACTTAATAGGGTTTTTTCCATGTAAACCAGTACAATGCAACTTAATAGGGATTTTTCCATGTAAACCAGTATAATGCAACTTAATAGGGTTTT